CGAAGGCAGACGCTTAACGACTGAGCCACCCAGGCGCCCGTGCATGTTATTTTAACTATATAATAATTAATACCAGAAAGCAGTGGGTAAATTACAAATATAGAAGAAAGTCAAGGAATAAATTATGTCTATTCGCAAAGTAAACTCTTCTGTTAACCTTTTATCTTTTTTTATATATATTACTATATTCATTATGCATGTTGTATTATTTATGTTTATTCATATTGTTTATATACTTTAAAAGTGTGTGAGATCATAGAAGGTTTTTATTTGCAAATTTTTTTCATCTCCAAGACCATCTTCACTTTGGACACTAGCAAGTTTGGGGGTCCCCAAGACCACTCTTAAGTATGATAATTTGTTAGAAGGACTCACAGAACTGACTGAAAGCTATTTGACTCATGCTTAAATGATACAGATTAAAATCAGCCAAGGAAAGACATACATGGGGCAGAGTCCAGGAGAGTTCTCAGGGTGAAGTTTTCAGCCATGGACAGCTCTAGCTTCCCCCGGCAATGATGAATACTCATACGCATGGATTATTGCCAACTGGGGAGGCTCACTTAAGCCTTGGTGTCCACCATTTTTACTAGGTCTTGGTAATGAGTGAACCCCTGCACGACTGACCTTAGTTTTCAGACCCTCGAGAGGTCAGGCTAATACAGTGACCCAAAGCCCCCACCATAAATCACATTATTAGCATAGACTGTCTAGTGTGGCCCAGTGCCCCCGGTAAACAAAGACACTCTTAATCACACAGGACATTCTCAGGGCTTTTGAGAGAAGCTCACAGGAGCCAGACTTTGCTTGAGTAAGCTTAATGTTTTACCCACAGTCTATGCCACCTTTTTTTCCCCATGTGTTTTTGTTTTCATATTATTCTTTTAACATTATTTTAATTGAATAGTTATGACATATTATACAGGAGTGAATATGTAAATACATGTTACAGTTTAATGATATAAATCAAACACCCACAACTAAAGAAACAGAAGATGACTAATACTTTAGAGACTTAAATATTACCTTTTCCCATTTTACCTCCCTTCCTATGCGAAGTATCGTTATCTTAAATCTTGGTTTAAATATTTCCTTCCTTTTCTTTATAGTTTTACCAACCATGTACATATTCCTAAATAAGTTGTTTGGTTTTGACCAAACTTTGAATTGTACATAAATAAAATCATACCTTATTAATGCATCTAGCTGCAGTATATTCATTTTTATTGCAGTTTTAATAACACATGCTTTGAATGCTATACTTGATTCATTTAACCCTTGGTTGACTCTTGGGTGGTTTCCCATTTTTGGTTGTACTGAGGCAGGGTGCGGCAAACTATGGCCCTCAGGTTAAATCTTGCTTTTCCCAGTTTGTTGAAACGCAGTCTGTTGGAACTTAGCCAGGACATCTGACCGTATACCGTCCATGGCTGTTTCTGTGCTACACTAGCAGAGTTGACTGGTTGTGACAGAGACTCTGTCGGGCTTAAAAACCTAAAATAGTTATTATCGTTTCTCTCAGCAGAAACAGGTGACTGCCTGCTCGAGGTATATACTGTTCTGTGTCTGTACCAAATGTATTCTGCCACCATCAGTGCTTGAATGTTCCCCCTTCCCAACCTTACCAGCGCCATGTGTTTTATAAGGATCTAGTGTGGTTTTAAAAACCAATTCTATTTGGGATTGGTTGGGTCTTCTTATTGTGATGATTTGTATCTCTCTATAATTCTGGAAAATTCTGACATTTTCTCTTCAGATAAGATTTTCTACAATTGTGTACTTTTTGTGATTGCCTTTTGCAACTCCAAGTAGACATTTTAAGGTACTTTATTCCTCTTCTGTGTCTCTTAACCTAGTATTTTCCCATCTCTTTAAATTTGTGTTTTGGATTGCTTCTTTGCCTATGTCTTTGATGTCCTCAGTTTTCTCTTTATCTGACGTCTGATCCATAGGTTGAGATTTTAATGTCAGGAGTTTAATATATATATTA